CTTCATAATAAATAAATATTTTTTAATACAAATTATATTATAACTAAAATTTGAAATAAATAAACATTTTTAACATATAAATTATATTTAAGATCGATAATAAATAATTTATATTGCGATACAATGTTACTTTTATCTATTTGATATTTTTTTTTTTTTAAATTAATTTTACTCATAGTGATAATCAAATTTTCTTATCCAAATTAAAAATATAAATTGACTTATTCAAATAAAATACTTAAAAAATAATAAAAATTAAAATTAAAATAATTTAAATTCTAAAAATTTCAAATTCTTTAAATTTTTAAAACTTTTCATCCAAACATATCATGAGGCATATATCAATTTTGAAGTGTTTTTGCTTCATATTAGTTACAGATAAAAGAAAATGAACAAATCAAAAGCATATAAACTAGACTATTTAGAGACAGTTTTCTTTGTGTTTTTAGGGTTTAGGGTCTGGATATCATGGGCCAAATATATTTGATCGGACCATGAGTTACATGTAGTCCAAAAATAATGTTTTTTATTTTCTATTTTTGGTGTCAAAATAATGTGCTTTATAAATCGAAAGCGGCGTAACAAAAGTGGATGTACATACATTTTTTGAAAATAAATCTGCTCAAGATATGGTATCAATACTCGATATGATAATGGGCTATACTTTTCAAAAACCCAAAATGAGTCTATCAGGATAAGTTTCCAAAAACTCATTAGGAGTAATAATAATATGCATATGATACCAAGTTAAAACTTCTTTTACTCGCACATATAAATGTTAAAATTATATATGAAAATTTAGTTAAAAAATAAAATTACATTTACTAAAAGTTAAAAGTCTAATAATGGTTAGGTTTGAAAAACAATAATTTACACACTAATAGTGGGAAAAAAATTATGTCGTCATCCGATCAAAGTATATGGCATGTATAATGAATTTGTTGATGTTTATAAAAATTACTTAAAAGTCATACACATGCTATGATATGTGATTATTTCACAGCGCAAGTACGTATGTGAAGATTAATGTTGAATAATTATTATATTAAGCTAATTACTAGTTCATCTTCTCATATAACGTCTAGAAAATAGTAGCCAAAAAGTAAATGGTAGAATATGAACATGATTGAGCACTAAAGGGTGGTTGGTGCAAACAAGACATGGCTCATTCCAAGAAGCTCATGTCATTGTTTATGGGAAAGTCTAACAAGAGCTGTAATGAAGTGTCAGATGAGTCTTCCAGTTCACTAGAGCATGAAGAATCCAAATCTTCTTTCACAATGCTTGATGATGCAACATGGTTGGAAGTAGTGGTGGCTGAAACTGAAACTGAGCCACATTTGTTGGAATAGGACCCTACAGAAATGGGACTCTGAGAACTACTTTTGTTGTTATTATCTGATTTGTGCACACCTCGGAAAGATTCTCCAACTTCAGAGTTCCAGATTCGGAGAAAATAGTCAGAGTCAGGTTTGGACCCAAAGGAGGATGATTCCCTTGAGAGCCTGGCCTCTGCTTCAAGCCTTGCACTCTCCCATTGGGCCATGTGGCGGGTTGAAGTGGAGGATCCATGGGCCTTGTCGTTTGGGTTACGTGAAGAGCCCAGTGGCTGGTGGGTTTGTGGGTCCAGGCCCATGCAAATGAGACGTTTCTTCAAGTGGGTGTTCCATAAGTTTTTTATCTCATTGTCTGTTCTGCCTGGTAGCTGAGAGGCTATTGCAGCCCACCTGTGAATTCATTCATTTGTTAAATAATGTTACAATACTTTTCTTGAAAAAGGACAAAACTTAGTATATTGAAAATGTTGTTACTTAATCTCAATAATATAAATTGACATTTAATAAAATATTTTATTATGTATATTACTGAAGTAAAACTCTAATTTTAATGAGAGAGCAATATATATATTTTATTACATGTAAATTTCATCCTAATGACTCAGAGGATACAATATGTATTTCGTTGGTTCAAGAAATAAATGGGTTCTAAAGATAGTGGAATTAGAACTTAGAAGTATACAACATTGTCCATCGTATAGTCTCTGATTGGTAGAAGTTACATCTAAAGTTTCTAAAAGTGTATTTTGTCAATCAAATTAAGTTTTAAGGATCAATTTGACTAATCAAATGCGCATTTAATAAAGAGAAAATTTGATGCAAAGACTTTAGGTGTAATTTAAATCATTCGGGTTTTAACATGATGAAGACTATATGCTTTATTCAAATGACAATTTTTTGGTTTCAAAACACTCCGACAATCTTAATAATCAGACGAAAAATTATCATTTGCTTCTACGTTGTTTGTTTTTATATACATCAGTAGGAGATTTAAATCCTTTGGAATAGCTACACCATGTATCTCTCTCTTATCAAGTGGGTCCCGCTTTAATTCAATGTATTGGTTTCTTCCCGTTTCTCACCACATAGTACAGCTACCGTGGTAAAACTAGCTAGAACAATAGGGCATTCTAAATACCACGTATATCAAAACTTTTAATTCTGAAATGTATATGTCATTAATTGAGATATAAACTCAACATCATAAATACTAAAAAGACAAAACTTAAATATGGTTACATAAAGTTTTGTTTGATAGTCGCAAGCCAAGAACTATATTCTCTAATGAAGCAAGTATATGTTAAAAGCAAACACAATTAGGAATTGAAATCGATATTATATTGTGATGCAAGATTTTCATGTAACTAAATTATGTTGATTTTTTTTTTTTTTTTGGTCTCTATAGCTCACTTAGTGAACATTAAAGTTATGTTGAAATTTTGCCTCTCATAGTCAAAAGTACCTATTTCCAAGGATACCATGAAGCTGTATGATTAGTTTTTCTTCCTCAAGTGTAAAAGGACCACGTTTAATATCTGGTCTGAGGTAGTTTGTCCATCTCAGCCGACAACTCTTTCCACAACGGAGAAGACCTATAAGGAGAGTTAAATGGCAAGTAATATGGCAAATTATTCTTTTGCTTCCAAGAAAATACAAAAACCAAAATGTTCATGTGAAGAAAAATCTTCAAATGGATGAGCGATTTGCATCTTGGTTACCTTATGCATAACTAACCTAATAATGGAGGCCAAGTTTTCGGTTGAAAACACAAAAGGAACCAGAGAAAATCAACAGAAAAACATGATATTAGGAAACAAAAGGGCTAGGTTATGAATGTATAATCTACAACCAAACTTAACTTGAGTACATATTTCAATCATATTCAATGGTTAAAAAACATTTATATTAAAGTTTAAGATAAAGGGACACTTTCTCTTGCTTTTCAACCCATTATTGTTCTATTAACTTGATGGATTAACTAAAGATCTTTAGGGTCATGTACCAAAATAAATAAATAAAGATCTTTGGTCATGGACGAAAATAAATAAATAAATATCTTTATTAGGGGACCCAAAAATCATTCAGACATTTATTAACAAGCCTTATAGCCGATCGATCGATTTAAAACAGAAGCTCCTCTAACTAATGCCATGCTTAGTTTCACACTTTGGATGTGATTTTTATAAGCTAATAGTTATTCTATTTACATTTAAACGTGATTTCTTCGTTCTCAACAAGTTTTCAATCAAACTATAAAGCTGCAAATTTGTCGACTAAATAAAAAAAAACAACAACAACAACAACTTTAAGGTACATGCTTCATAATGGAAAGGTACTTCCAAAGCAGCTTCTTTCATTGCTTTCCGAGTGTAACAAAACGAGGGAAACTTTTGTTTCCAAGAGAGAAAAGTGATTGTTGAAGTACAATTTCAAAACATGACCACAAAAACAAAGATCCCAAGCAAGAAAAAACTATAGGAAAAAAAAGGCATAAAAACCTGCTAACTTAGGAAGAGAACGCCAACTTCCATGACCACCATTCTTTTTTATATAATTGACAAGAATCTCATCCTCTTCAGCTGTCCAAGGACCTTTCTTCAACCCCATCTTCTCACAACAAGGTGTTCTTCCCATCCTTACCTAAGTGAAAAATCACATTTCATAAATCAAACACATAAAAATTTATTAATTTAAAAAAAAAAAAATAAAAAAAAAAAAGTTTGCACACTTTCAAGTGAGTAGTCTCGTGTACGTTGGCAAGACTTGAAGGCTGGGAGAGGGTATTGTGACATAAATTGGAAAGGGATTTACTGGTGAAAGAAAAATGTGTGTGATCTTTATGGCTATTTGAGGAGAGAGTATTTAATGTTACAGAGCTTGCAAGGACTATAGGCGAGTTTCCAGCAATAAATGCGTTCAGAAGTTGAATCATCGTTGAGAGACTTCCACGAACATTGTGTGTGCATTTATTTTTCTTTTCTTTTATTACATATCTCACCGATAATGTTGTGGGAGAATCTTTTACTCCTGCCATGCCTCGCGGATAACAGTTCATGCTTAATATATATACCGGACCAATTTATTTACTTCGATAACAATTTTTTTTTGTTAGTGTTATTTCATACAATATTTCATATTTTATATTAATTTTTAATAATTCAATTATTGAATTAAGAGTTTTTAATAAATTGTTAAATTTATAAAATTTTATAAAATTAAAAAATTATATTATGCTTCATTATATATATTAAAATTAACATATAATATTTTTTTTAAGAATATGAATTTATTTGATTTAATGTCTCATAATGTCAAATAGTTTTTAAATTTTATATACTTGATCTATTCATTAAAAAAATTTAATTCAACGATTGAATTATTAAAATTCAATGTAGAGTATGAATTATTAAATGAAATAACTCTAAAAAGACTTAAGAAGTGTTTGATATGTAAAATATTTTTACTTTTTCAAAAATCTTAAATCAAGAATCTTGTTTTTCCATGTTTGGTAGTTATTTAAAAAAATCTCATAAATATAATTTTCTGAGAATCATTTTTATCCTACTTTCTCATAAAGACATTCTTACGAGGGAGGTGAGAATTCAACTTCTTAAAATTAAGGGAAAAATTTTATGTATATAAAAAGACTACGGTATCCTTTTATAAAACAAAAAATATTTTTTTCTCATCATCTTTCTAGTTCTCTTTCTTGCTTTTACTCTTACTCTCACTCTCCTCTCTTTTTCTCTCTTCCTTTCTCTATGTCTTTGAGTCTCTCAAGCTCTTCCTCTCCATCTCCCTCTTTCTTCTTTTATTTCTCTTTCTCCCTTTTCGTCTTTCTCACTCTTATTCCCCTTCTCTCCCTCTCTCCCTCTCTCCCTCTCTGTCTCTCTCCCTCTCACTCTCCAGTCTCATCCTCTCATCTCTCACTCCCTCTCATATCTTTATTTTTCTTTCTTGTATCTATTATTTATTGACCTTATCAATTTCAATAATATTATTAAAGTATTTTGTTTCTATATTTTAATGGTATTTATTAATTTTTTTTAATTTGAATGAAATGAAATAATATATTTTTATTCTTCTTAATTATAATGTAGTATTTTCTTTTTTTTTTATTCTTTTTGATGAATTCTATATTTAAATGATTTTAATAAACTTTCAACTTTTAAAAATAATTTAATATCATATTTATAATAAGATTTGAATAAATAAATATATATAATAAAATTATTTTAATAAAAGAAATTTTTGTAAAAAAAATTATATATCCAAGAATATACTCTTATAATCAAACATATAAATCTTTAAATTATGAGAATCCTATATGAATATTCAAAAATGTTTATGAGTAACCAAACAGATTTTAACTATTATCAAGAATCATGATTCCCAGAATTTGTAATTCTTAGGAATCATGATTTCTGGGTATGAAAAAATTTCTCTCCTATCAAATGTTCTAGGATTTGTAATTTTCAATACTCATGATTTCTAGATATGAAAAATTTTCTCCCCTATCAAACGTTCCCTTACAGTAAATGGATCTTTCTCCTAGGGATGAGAATAGGCTAAGCTAGACCTTGAACATATAGGATTTATTCTAAGAAATTAAAACTTAAGGCTGACCTATTATCTATTAAAGATTTTTTTATAGGTTTGGCCAACCTTTTTAAAGTCTAATCTAACATATTAGTCTATTTTATATTAATAATGTTAATTAAACTACTAAACTTAATTTTTAAAAAGACAACAAATTTATTTCCAAATATGTCAATTAGGGTTATTTTTTAATTTTCTTGATAAAATATAATATAATTTACTATGATGAAAGAGGGTAATCTTATTTAAATAATATATTTATATTAATTATTTATTATATTATATAGATAAATAAACTAACATATTAGGTATAATAGACTTTTTTATAAGTCTAAATCCAACCTTTTTAAATAAATAAGTTTTTTTTTAAGTTTAAACCTGACATTTTTATTAAATAGGCTATATTAGACCATGTTTTAAAGAGGTCAGGCCACAAATCCATGTTTAAGACCTAACTTATTCTTGTATCTCTCTTTCTCTCTATCTCTCTCTCTCTCTCTCTCTCTCTATATATATATATATATATATATATATATATATATATATATATATATATATGTTCTCACCTGAGGACCGAGGTCGGCCTGAGGGGCGATCACTCTGATGAGATTGATGAGCCTTTCCTCTTAGGTATGTCGGTC